CTCAGCCTCCTTTATCATGTGGTAGGCCATTATTACATCTGCTTCTTCTTCAGTGCCCCAACAACAATAATTATTGGATGGGGATCGGGTCCAGTTACGATCAGTCGTTTGCCCTCTTGTGCTCGCATGGAACACAACTGATGTACGATCACCTTGATGACTTGTTGATTGTTTGCAGAAACATTTAGGATGACTTTCTGTTTTGGCAGAGGATACTCACTCTTCATCTATTTTACACGGCTGCAACCTTTTGCACGTGCTGTTCGTAAAAAAACGGACTTGACGCTGCTCTCATACTATCTGTCTAAAACCACATGAATAACTGGTCATCTGTCTGCATATTTCATGAATGTTGCAACAGCAACATCTACAAAAGTACACACCTTTGCGGGAGAAGCAGGACACGGAACAATCCAAAGAAGAGCACATCCATCAAGCCTGATATAACATCTGGCACCTGTGCATTTTGTTGACTATCTCAACTTTGCTCCTTGAATTCAAGACGGACTTACTTGTGGAACGTGCATCACCATTCTTGTCGAACAGTGCGGGTGGATAGGGAGCCAATTCATAATAGAAGAAGGTTTTGGTTAAAATTGCTTCCCTTGATGTAGCCATGATCTCGATTACTTGGTCGTAGATCATCCCTGTATTGGCAACTGTAGATACCTCACCTCTAGACGACATATATCAGAAGCCTTTGCCATTCCTTTGACTTTCTTCTTAATTGTACCATGGAACCCCTTCAGCAACTTTCTTTCGTTTTCGTTCATCTGATCAGATCCAATCTTGATTGGATCATCGGCATTTACTGCTGAATCATCCACAACTTTTGCAGTGTAGATGTTCACCAGGCTTGAAGGAGGGTGCTTCTCACTGTTAAATGCGTCTAAACAAGTCGATAGCGCCTCACGAATTCTCTTTCTGTCAGCCACATCTGATTTGATTCTGTTGAGACGTACATGTACTCTCTCCTTAAGGTGACAAGTGACAACTTTCTGATCTTCCCCTTCTTGCATGGCTTCCAAGTCATTCTTCAGTTGTCCAAAGAGGCTGAGAGACAAAACCCAGAGAGCAAGGGTAGAGTCATTCAAAGTGGAAGGTCCCTTTCCATAGCGCATGTACGCTGTTTCAAAGTACATATCGGACCAGATGGTGCATCACATGTTCTCTATCTGAGAACTGCTTGAGTAATGCTGGTGGCAGCTAGACTTTGCATGGAAAGGAGATAATACAGCCCATAGCGTGCAAAATTTGTATGCCCTGAAGCGAAGAAATAGAGCAATATTTCCTTGACAGCTTGCAGATGGAGAGACCAGTCACCCTCCCTTCCAGCTCTAAAAAAATCCCTACAGATGATAATGGGCGTTACAAGACAGTTCATCCACAATTTAGTAGTTTGACTGCCTTGACTGCTGGCTATTTCAAACAACTCGTCAAAGTCAGTGAGGTGGTGGTCTTCCAGTACTTATCTCAATATTTCCTCAATGACAAATCGAAGCACCCTGAAACTCTGGGGGAACCTCTTCCCATCAGGCAGAAGTTTTGGAACTCCAGCAAAGCGGCCAAATTGAATTTTCGCATTTTGTGAAAAATGCTCAAGGTTTCGCGTCTGGCACTCATCGGATTTGGATTCAGCACCCTCATATTGACAAGAAAACATAAAATAACCTGTTAAATGGCCAAACATTTGCAAAGAATAAGCCTTTTCATGATTTGGCGGCCATTTTGGCGGCCATTTTGAATTTTCGCCGTTTACGAGAAATGCTCAAGGTCTCGCGTCTGGCACTCATCGGATTTGGATTCAGCACCCTCAAATTGACAAGAAAACATCAAATAACCTGTTAAATGGCCAAACATTTGAAAAGAATAAGCCTTTTCATGATTTGGCGGCCATTTTGAATTTTCGCCGTTTACGAGAAATGCATAAGGTTTCGCGTCTGGCACTCATCGGATTTGGATTCAGCACCCTCATATTGACAAGAAAACATCAAATAACCTGTTAAATGGCCAAACATTTGAAAAGAATAAGCCTTTTCATGATTTGGCGGCCATTTTGGCGGCCATTTTGAATTTTCGCCGTTTACGAGAAATGCATAAGGTTTCGCGTCTGGCACTCATCGGATTTGGATTCAGCACCCTCATATTGACAAGAAAACATCAAATAACCTGTTAAATGGCCAAACATTAGAAAAGAATAAGCCTTTTCATGATTTGGCGGCCATTTTGACGGCCATTTTGAATTTTCGCCGTTTACGAGAAATGCATAAGGTTTCGCATCTGGCACTCATCCGATTTGTATTCAGCACCCTCAAATTGACAAGAAAACATAAAATAACCCGTTAAATGGCCAAAGAATAAGCGTTTTCATGATTTGGCGGCCATTTTGGCGGCCATTTTGAATTTTCGCCGTTTACGAGAAATGCTCAAGGTTTCGCGTCTGGCACTCATCGGATTTGGAATCAGCACCCTTGAATTGACAAGAAACCATCAAAAAACATTGTATATATAACAAAACAAGGTTCCTTGCTCTCTAGCCTGGACTATTTATATTACCCTGGCCTTATAGCCCATAAATAGTTGTTTTTATACGCTCAAGGGAAGGTTAGAATTGTGCTATTGCCCGAGGCGTCAACTATTTCTCGAATATTAAAGCAGTCATTATAATACTCTGTGTATTTATCAATTAAAAAGTTTTGATTTCTACCTTTCCTTATGTTATTCTGTTTCCTTACCCTTTTATCATTATTCTTCCTGTATTTCGTTAAGTTGTTCAGTGTTGTTATCCTTTTGTCACTTTCGCTTTCTTTCTTTTGCTATGTTACTCTGTGTTGTTATACTTTTATTATGTTCGCTTTCTGTCTTTCGCTATGTTACTCTGTGTTGTTATCGTATTTGCTTTCTCTCTTTCGTTGTGTTACTCTGTGTTGATATCCTCTCTTTTTTCTTCCCTGATATATTCTTTATATATAACGTGCTATCATTGTCCCTTTCTAACTTTCGTTATGTTACTCTGTGTTGATAAACTTTTATCATTTTCACTTTCTGTCTTGCGCTAGTTTACTCTACATTATTCGGGAGGTCCGTACAATGGGGAAGACATAGTGATTCTTTTGTTTTCTACATGTGTTTTCTTTTCAAATTTAAATTTTGTATTCGGCTATCTTGTCATGGTCCACAAATGAATCCTTTAGTGACGTAAAGAAAAAAAGAAGGTTGTCTCAATCCTCTTTTGTAGATCCATTCCTTTTCGTGGAAGGACCTGCACATGTAGCAAAATTTCAACCCGTCTTCATGGTGCACCATTATTCATGTGTTTAGGCAGATCCCTGAGATTCCAGCCTAGTTATTCATAGTTGTTCCTCAGCTACAGTGTAATAGGAAGCGCAGGAATTGGACTTAAACTACCTTAAACAGCCACATGTTTGTACTTATCCTCAGATAGTCTAACTGTTATAATACACGGGTATTCGTTCAGTTTGGTGAGATGATAAGTTTGAGGAAAGAATTGATGAGGCATATTCTTTAAATTTTAATTTCTATTGTGTATCTTCATTGAACTGCTGAACTACATGAGCCCTATACATTATTCTTTACCCAATACAGAGATCACTTGTGCTAAGCCTGGAGCAGGTACTAAAACAAAAGCAGTGTCTGGTGGACGAAGGAAGCTTGACCAGGATTATACCTATTCCTGCAAAGGCGGCTACACCGCCACCTCTGATAAACTGAAGACCGTCTGTGTAGTAGACGGTGACGCAAGCTCTGGAAAGTGGTCTGTACCTCCACCCACTTGCGAAGGTATGTATTGTGTTAAAAGCCAAGGTCCCATTCACATATGTTATTCTCTATGGGTATCTTGTTATTATTTTGTAATTCCACCTTTCTTTATGTTACTCTGTGTATTTATCAATTCAAAAGTTTTGATTTCTACCTTTCCTTATGTTATTCTGTTTCCTTACCCTTTTATCATTATTCTTCCTGTATTTCGTTAAATTGTTCTGTATTGTTATCCTTTTGTCACTTTTGCTTTCTGTCTTTCGCTATGCTACTCTGTGCTGTTATCTTTTTTTACTTTCTGTCTTTCGTTCTTTTACTTTGTGTTGATCCTCTCTGTTTTCTTTCCCTGATATATTCTTTATATTTACCGTCATATCATTTCCCCTTTCTACCTTTAGTTATGTAACTCTGTGTTAATATACTTTTATCATTTTCACTTTCTGTCTTGCGCTAGTTTACTCTATATTATTCGGGAGGTCCGTACAATGGGGAAGACATAGTGATTCTTTTGTTTTCCCGATGTGTATTCTTTTCAAATTTAAATTTTGTATTTCGGCTATCTTGTCATGGTCCACAAATGAATCCTTTAGTGACGTAACGAAAAAAATGAACGTTGGTTCAATCCTCTTTTGTAGATTTATTCCTTGCGTGGAAGGACCTGCAAATGTAGCATATTTTTTAACCGTGTTCATGGTGCAAAACTATTTATGTGTTTGGGCAGATCCCTGGTATTCAGCCTAATGTTTCATAGTTGTCTCTTAGTTAAAGTGTAATAGGCACAGTAGCGTACGCAGGATTTTTTTTAAAGGGGGGGGGGGAGGGGGTTAACATTTTTAAATCGCGCCGAAAATTCGCAATGCCTCAGTCAGCCGCTGAATAAGCGGAGGGGGGGGTGGTAAGAGTACATTTTTTTTCCTTCCTATTACTAAAAAAGTGAAGGGGGGTTCATGAAAAATCACACACATAAACAAAAATAGAGGGGGGTTCAACCCCCCCCCCCCCCCTCCCGCTGCGTACGCGCCTGAATAGGCATTGCAAGGATTGGACTTAAACTGCTTTTATAGCCACAAAGTGATACTCATCCACAAAAAGACTAACTGTTGAAATACGCGGGCATTCGTTCAGTTTGGTGAGATGATAAGTTTTGAGGAAAGAATTGATGAGGCATATTCTTTAAATTTTAATTTCTATTGTGTATCTTCGTTGAACTGCTGAACTACATGAGCCCTCCACATTATTCTTTACCCAATACAGAGATCACTTGTGCTAAGCCTGGAGCAGGTACTAACACAAAAGCAGTGTCTGGTGGACGAAGGAAGCTTGACCAGTATTATACCTATTCCTGCAAAGGCGGCTACACCGCCACCTCTAATAAACTGAAGACCGTCTGTGTAGAAGACGGTGACGCAAGCTCTGGAAAGTGGTCTGTACCTCCACCCACTTGCAAAGGTATGTATTGTGTTAAAAGCCAAGGTCCCATTCACATATGTTATTCTCTGTGGGTATCTTGTTATTATTTTGTAATTCCACCTTTCTTTATGTTACTCTGTGTATTGATCAATTCAAAAGTTTTGATTTCTACCTTTCCTTATGTTATTCTGTTTCCTTACCCTTTTATCATTATTCTTTCTGTATTTCGTTAAATTGTTCTGTATTGTTATCCTTTTGTCACTTTTGCTTTCTGTCTTTCGCTATGCTACTCTATGCTGTTATCTTTTTTTACTTTCTGTCTTTCGTTCTTTTACTTTGTGTTGATCCTCTCTGTTTTCTTTCCCTGATATATTCTTTATATTTACCGTCATATCATTTCCCCTTTCTAACTTTAGTTATGTAACTCTGTGTTAATATACTTTTATCATTTTCACTTTCTGTCTTGCGCTAGTTTACTCTATATTATTCGGGAGGTCCGTACAATGGGGAAGACATAGTGATTCTTTTGTTTTCCCGATGTGTATTCTTTTCAAATTTAAATTTTGTATTTCGGCTATCTTGTCATGGTCCACAAATGAATCCTTTAGTGACGTAACGAAAAAAATGAACGTTGGTTCAATCCTCTTTTGTAGATTTATTCCTTGCGTGGAAGGACCTGCAAATGTAGCATATTTTTTAACCGTGTTCATGGTGCAAAACTATTTATGTGTTTGGGCAGATCCCTGGTATTCAGCCTAATGTTTCATAGTTGTCTCTTAGTTAAAGTGTAATAGGCACAGTAGCGTACGCAGGATTTTTTTAAAGGGGGGGGGGGGAGGGGGTTAACATTTTTAAATCGCGCCGAAAATTCGCAATGCCTCAGTCAGCCGCTGAATAAGCGGAGGGGGGGGGGTGGTAAGAGTACATTTTTTTTCCTTCCTATTACTAAAAAAGTGAAGGGGGGTTCATGAAAAATCACACACATAAACAAAAATAGAGGGGGGTTCAACCCCCACCCCCCTCCCGCTGCGTACGCGCCTGAATAGGCATTGCAAGGATTGGACTTAAACTGCTTTTATAGCCACAAAGTGATACTTATCCACAAAAAGACTAACTGTTGAAATACGCGGGCATTCGTTCAGTTTGGTGAGTTGATAAGTTTTGAGGAAAGAATTGATGAGGCATATTCTTTAAATTTTAATTTCTATTGTGTATCTTCATTGAACTGCTGAACTACATGAGCCCTCCACATTATTCTTTACCCAATACAGAGATCACTTGTGCTAAGCCTGGAGCAGGTACTAACACAAAAGCAGTGTCTGGTGGACGAAGGAAGCTTGACCAGTATTATACCTATTCCTGCAAAGGCGGCTACACCGCCACCTCTAATAAACTGAAGACCGTCTGTGTAGAAGACGGTGACGCAAGCTCTGGAAAGTGGTCTGTACCTCCACCCACTTGCAAAGGTATGTATTGTGTTAAAAGCCAAGGTCCCATTCACATATGTTATTCTCTGTGGGTATCTTGTTATTATTTTGTAATTCCACCTTTCTTTATGTTACTCTGTGTATTGATCAATTCAAAAGTTTTGATTTCTACCTTTCCTTATGTTATTCTGTTTCCTTACCCTTTTATCATTATTCTTCCTGTATTTCGTTAAATTGTTCTGTATTGTTATCCTTTTATCACTTTTGCTTTCTGTCTTTCGCTTTGCTACTCTGTGCTGTTATCTTTTTTTACTTTGTGCCTTTCGTTCTTTTACTTTGTGTTGATATCCTCTCTGTTTTCTTTCCCTGATATATTCTTTATATTTACCGTCATATCATTTCCCCTTTCTAGCTTTAGTTATGAAACTCTGTGTTGATATACTTTTATCATTTTCACTTTCTGTCTTGCGCTAGTTTACTCTATATTATTCGGGAGGTCCGTACAATGGGGAAGACATAGTGATTCTTTTGTTTTCCCGATGTGTATTCTTTTCAAATTTAAATTTTGTATTTCGGCTATCTTGTCATGGTCCCCAAATGAATCCTTTAGTGACGTAACGAAAAAAATGAACGTTGTTTCAATCCTCTTTTGTAGATTTATTCCTTGCGTGGAAGGACCTGCAATTGTAGCATATTTTTTAACCGTGTTCATGGTGCAAAACTATTTATGTGTTTGGGCAGATCCCTGGTATTCAGCCTAATGTTTCATAGTTGTCTCTTAGTTAAAGTGTAATAGGCACAGTAGCGTACGCAGGATTTTTTTTAAAGGGGGGGGGGAGGGGGTTAACATTTTTAAATCGCGCCGAAAATTCGCAATGCCTCAGTCAGCCGCTGAATAAGCGGAGGGGGGGGTGGAAAGAGCACATTTTTTTTCCTTCCTATTACTAAAAAAGTGAAGGAGGGTTCATGAAAAATCACACACATAAACAAAAATAGAGGGGGGTTCAACCCCCCCCCCCCCCCCCCCCGCTGCGTACGCGCCTGAATAGGCATTGCAAGGATTGGACTTAAACTGCTTTTATAGCCACAAAGTGATACTTATCCACAAAAAGACTAACTGTTGAAATACGCGGGCATTCGTTCAGTTTGGTGAGATGATAAGTTTTGAGGAATGAATTGATGAGGCATATTCTTTAAATTTTAATTTCTATTGTCTATCTTCATTGAACTGCTGAACTACATGAGCCCTCCACATTATTCTTTACCAAATACAGAGATCACTTGTGCTAAGCCTGGAGCAGGTACTAACACAAAAGCAGTGTCTGGTGGACGAAGGAAGCTTGACCAGTATTATACCTATTCCTGCAAAGGCGGCTACACCGCCACCTCTAATAAACTGAAGACCGTCTGTGTAGTAGACGGTGACGCAAGCTCTGGAAAGTGGTCTGTACCTCCACCCACTTGCAAAGGTATGTATTGTGTTAAAAGCCAAGGTCCCATTCACATATGTTATTCTCTGTGGGTATCTTGTTATTATTTTGTAATTCCACCTTTCTTTATGTTACTCTGTGTATTGATCAATTCAAAAGTTTTGATTTCTACCTTTCCTTATGTTATTCTGTTTCCTTACCCTTTTATCATTATTCTTCCTGTATTTCATTAAATTGTTCTGTATTGTTATCCTTTTATCACTTTTGCTTTCTGTCTTTCGCTTTGCTACTCTGTGCTGTTATCTTTTTTTACTTTGTGCCTTTCGTTCTTTTACTTTGTGTTGATATCCTCTCTGTTTTCTTTCCCTGATATATTCTTTATATTTACCGTCATATCATTTCCCCTTTCTAGCTTTAGTTATGTAACTCTGTGTTGATATACTTTTATCATTTTCACTTTCTGTCTTGCGCTAGTTTACTCTATATTATTCGGGAGGTCCGTACAATGGGGAAGACATAGTGATTCTTTTGTTTTCCCGATGTGTATTCTTTTCAAATTTAAATTTTGTATTTCGGCTATCTTGTCATGGTCCACATATGAATCCTTTAGTGACGTAACGAAAAAAATGAACGTTGTTTCAATCCTCTTTTGTAGATTTATTCCTTGCGTGGAAGGACCTGCAATTGTAGCATATTTTTTAACCGTGTTCATGGTGCAAAACTATTTATGTGTTTGGGCAGATCCCTGGTATTCAGCCTAATGTTTCATAGTTGTCTCTTAGTTAAAGTGTAATAGGCACAGTAGCGTACGCAGGATTTTTTTTAAAGGGGGGGGGGAGGGGGTTAACATTTTTAAATCGCGCCGAAAATTCGCAATGCCTCAGTCAGCCGCTGAATAAGCGGAGGGGGGGGGTGGAAAGAGTACATTTTTTTTCCTTCCTATTACTAAAAAAGTGAAGGAGGGTTCATGAAAAATCACACACATAAACAAAAATAGAGGGGGGTTCAACCCCCCCCCCCCCCTCCCGCTGCGTACGCGCCTGAATAGGCATTGCAAGGATTGGACTTAAACTGCTTTTATAGCCACAAAGTGATACTTATCCACAAAAAGACTAACTTTTGAAATACGCGGGCATTCGTTCAGTTTGGTGAGATGATAAGTTTTGAGGAAAGAATTGATGAGGCATATTCTTTAAATTTTAATTTCTATTGTGTATCTTCATTGAACTGCTGAACTACATGAGCCCTCCACATTATTCTTTACCCAATACAGAGATCACTTGTGCTAAGCCTGGAGCAGGTACTAACACAAAAGCAGTGTCTGGTGGACGAAGGAAGCTTGACCAGTATTATTCCTATTCCTGCAAAGGCGGCTACACCGCCACCTCTAATAAACTGAAGACCGTCTGTGTAGAAGACGGTGACGCAAGCTCTGGAAAGTGGTCTGTACCTCCACCCACTTGCAAAGGTATGTATTGTGTTAAAAGCCAAGGTCCCATTCACATATGTTATTCTCTGTGGGTATCTTGTTATTATTTTGTAATTCCACCTTTCTTTATGTTACTCTGTGTATTGATCAATTCAAAAGTTTTGATTTCTACCTTTCCTTATGTTATTCTGTTTCCTTACCCTTTTATCATTATTCTTCCTGTATTTCGTTAAATTGTTCTGTATTGTTATCCTTTTATCACTTTTGCTTTCTGTCTTTCGCTTTGCTACTCTGTGCTGTTATCTTTTTTTACTTTGTGCCTTTCGTTCTTTTACTTTGTGTTGATATCCTCTCTGTTTTCTTTCCCTGATATATTCTTTATATTTACCGTCATATCATTTCCCCTTTCTAGCTTTAGTTATGTAACTCTGTGTTGATATACTTTTATCATTTTCACTTTCTGTCTTGCGCTACTTTACTCTATATTATTCGGGAGGTCCGTACAATGGGGAAGACATAGTGATTCTTTTGTTTTCCCGATGTGTATTCTTTTCAAATTTAAATTTTGTATTTCGGCTATCTTGTCATGGTCCACATATGAATCCTTTAGTGACGTAACGAAAAAAATGAACGTTGTTTCAATCCTCTTTTGTAGATTTATTCCTTGCGTGGAAGGACCTGCAATTGTAGCATATTTTTTAACCGTGTTCATGGTGCAAAACTATTTATGTGTTTGGGCAGATCCCTGGTATTCAGCCTAATGTTTCATAGTTGTCTCTTAGTTAAAGTGTAATAGGCACAGTAGCGTACGCAGGATTTTTTTTAAAGGGGGGGGGGAGGGGGTTAACATTTTTAAATCGCGCCGAAAATTCGCAATGCCTCAGTCAGCCGCTGAATAAGCGGAGGGGGGGGGGTGGAAAGAGTACATTTTTTTTCCTTCCTATTACTAAAAAAGTGAAGGAGGGTTCATGAAAAATCACACACATAAACAAAAATAGAGGGGGGTTCAACCCCCCCCCCCCCCTCCCGCTGCGTACGCGCCTGAATAGGCATTGCAAGGATTGGACTTAAACTGCTTTTATAGCCACAAAGTGATACTTATCCACAAAAAGACTAACTTTTGAAATACGCGGGCATTCGTTCAGTTTGGTGAGATGATAAGTTTTGAGGAAAGAATTGATGTGGCATATTCTTTAAATTTTAATTTCTATTGTGTATCTTCATTGAACTGCTGAACTACATGAGCCCTCCACATTATTCTTTACCCAATACAGAGATCACTTGTGCTAAGCCTGGAGCAGGTACTAACACAAAAGCAGTGTCTGGTGGACGAAGGAAGCTTGACCAGTATTATACCTATTCCTGCAAAGGCGGCTACACCGCCACCTCTAATAAACTGAAGACCGTCTGTGTAGAAGACGGTGACGCAAGCTCTGGAAAGTGGTCTGTACCTCCACCCACTTGCAAAGGTATGTATTGTGTTAAAAGCCAAGGTCCCATTCACATATGTTATTCTCTGTGGGTATCTTGTTATTATTTTGCAATTCCACCTTTCTTTATGTTACTCTGTGTATTGATCAATTCAAAAGTTTTGATTTCTACCTTTCCTTATGTTATTTTGTTTCCTTACCCTTTTATCATTATTCTTCCTGTATTTCGTTAAATTGTTCTGTATTGTTATCCTTTTATCACTTTTGCTTTCTGTCTTTCGCTTTGCTACTCTGTGCTGTTATCTTTTTTTACTTTGTGCCTTTCGTTCTTTTACTTTGTGTTGATATCCTCTCTGTTTTCTTTCCCTGATATATTCTTTATATTTACCGTCATATCATTTCCCCTTTCTAGCTTTAGTTATGTAACTCTGTGTTGATATACTTTTATAATTTTCACTTTCTATCTTGCGCTAGTTTACTCTATATTATTCGGGAGGTCCGTACAATGGGGAAGACATAGTGATTCTTTTGTTTTCCCGATGTGTATTCTTTTCAAATTTAAATTTTGTATTTCGGCTATCTTGTCATGGTCCACAAATGAATCCTTTAGTGACGTAACGAAAAAAATGAACGTTGTTTCAATCCTCTTTTGTAGATTTATTCCTTGCGTGGAAGGACCTGCAATTGTAGCATATTTTTTAACCGTGTTCATGGTGCAAAACTATTTATGTGTTTGGGCAGATCCCTGGTATTCAGCCTAATGTTTCATAGTTGTCTCTTAGTTAAAGTGTAATAGGCACAGTAGCGTACGCAGGATTTTTTTTAAAGGGGGGGGGGGGGGGGGGGGTTAACATTTTTAAATCGCGCCGAAAATTCGCAATGCCTCAGTCAGCCGCTGAATAAGCGGAGGGGGGGGGTGGAAAGAGTACATTTTTTTTCCTTCCTATTACTAAAAAAGTGAAGGAGGGTTCATGAAAAATCACACACATAAACAAAAATAGAGGGGGGTTCAACCCCCCCCCCCCCCCCTCCCGCTGCGTACGCGCCTGAATAGGCATTGCAAGGATTGGACTTAAACTGCTTTTATAGCCACAAAGTGATACTTATCCACAAAAAGACTAACTGTTGAAATACGCGGGCATTCGTTCAGTTTGGTGAGATGATAAGTTTTGAGGAAAGAATTGATGAGGCATATTTGTTTAATTTTAATTTCTATTGTGTATCTTCATTGAACTGCTGAACTACATGAGCCCTCCACATTATTCTTTACCCAATACAGAGATCACTTGTGCTAAGCCTGGAGCAGGTACTAACACAAAATCAGTGTCTGGTGGACGAAGGAAGCTTGACCAGGAATATACCTATTCCTGCAAAGGCGGCTACACCGCCACCTCTAATAAACTGAAGACCGTCTGTGTAGTAGACGGTGACGCAAGCTCTGGAAAGTGGTCTGTACCTCCACCCACTTGCAAAGGTATGTATTGTGTTAAAAGCCAAGGTCCCATTCACATATGTTATTCTCTGTGGGTATCTTGTTATTATTTTGTAATTCCACCTTTCTTTATGTTACTCTGTGTATTGATCAATTCAAAAGTTTTGATTTCTACCTTTCCTTATGTTATTCTGTTTCCTTACCCTTTTATCATTATTCTTCCTGTATTTCGTTAAATTGTTCCGTATTGTTATCTTTTTGTCACTTTTGCTTTCTGTCTTTCGCTATGCTACTCTGTGCTGTTATCTTTTTTTACTTTCTGCCTTTCGTTCTTTTACTTTGTGTTGATATCCTCTCTGTTTTCTTTCCCTGATATATTCTTTATATTTACCGTCATATCATTTCCCCTTTCTAGCTTTAGTTATGTAACTCTGTGTTGATATATTTTTATAATTTTCACTTTCTGTCTTGCGCTAGTTTACTCTATATTATTCGGGAGGTCCGTACAATGGGGAAGACATAGTGATTCTCTTGTTTTCCCGATGTGTATTCTTTTCAAATTTAAATTTTGTATTTCGGCTATCTTGTCATGGTCCACAAATGAATTCTTGAGTGACGTAAAGAAAAAATGAAGGTTGTCTCAATCCTCTTTTGTAGATTCATTCCTTATCGTGGAAGGACCTGCACATGTAGCAAAATTTCAAACCCGTCTTCATGGTGCACCATTATTCATGTGTTTGGGCAGATCCCTGGTATTCAGCCTAATGTTTCATAGTTGTCTCTTAGTTAAAGTGTAATAGGCACAGTAGCGTACGCAGGATTTTTTTTAAAGGGGGGGGGAGGGGATTAACATTTTTAAATCGCGCCGAAAATTCGCAATGCCTCAGCCAGCCGCTGAATACGCGGAGGGGGGGGGGGGTGGTAAGAGTACATTTTTTTCCTTCCTATTACTAAAAAAGTGAAGGGGGGTTCATGAAAAATCACAAACATAAACAAAAATAGAGGGGGTTCAACCCCCCCCCCCCCCCCCCCTCCCGCTGCGTACGCGCCTGAATAGGTATTGCAAGGATTGGACTTAAACTGCTTTTATAGCCACAAAGTGATACTTATCCACAAAAAGACTAACTGTTGAAATACGCGGGCATTCGTTCAGTTTGGTGAGATGATAAGTTTTGAGGAAAGAATTGATGAGGCATATTTGTTTAATTTTAATTTCTATTGTGTATCTTCATTGAACTGCTGAACTACATGAGCCCTCCACATTATTCTTTACCCAATACAGAGATCACTTGTGCTAAGCCTGGAGCAGGTACTAAAACAAAATCAGTGTCTGGTGGACGAAGGAAGCTTGACCAGGAATATACCTATTCCTGCAAAGGCGGCTACACCGCCACCTCTAATAAACTGAAGACCGTCTGTGTAGTAGACGGTGACGCAAGCTCTGGAAAGTGGTCTGTACCTCCACCCACTTGCAAAGGTATGTATTGTGTTAAAAGCCAAGGTCCCATTCACATATGTTATTCTCTGTGGGTATCTTGTTATTATTTTGTAATTCCACCTTTCTTTATGTTACTCTGTGTATTGATCAATTCAAAAGTTTTGATTTCTACCTTTCCTTATGTTATTCTGTTTCCTTACCCTTTTATCATTATTCTTCCTGTATTTCGTTAAATTGTTCCGTATTGTTATCTTTTTATCACTTTTGCTTTCTGTCTTTCGCTATGCTACTCTGTGCTGTTATCTTTTTTTACTTTCTGCCTTTCGTTCTTTTACTTTGTGTTGATATCCTCTCTGTTTTCTTTCCCTGATATATTCTTTATATTTACCGTCATATCATTTCCCCTTTCTAGCTTTAGTTATGTAACTCTGTGTTGATATATTTTTATAATTTTCACTTTCTGTCTTGCGCTAGTTTACTCTATATTATTCGGGAGGTCCGTACAATGGGGAAGACATAGTGATTCTCTTGTTTTCCCGATGTGTATTCTTTTCAAATTTAAATTTTGTATTTCGGCTATCTTGTCATGGTCCACAAATGAATTCTTGAGTGACGTAAAGAAAAAATGAAGGTTGTCTCAATCCTCTTTTGTAGATTCATTCCTTTTCGTGGAAGGACCTGCACATGTAGCAAAATTTCAAACCCGTCTTCATGGTGCACCATTATTCATGTGTTTGGGCAGATCCCTGGTATTCAGCCTAATGTTTCATAGTTGTCTCTTAGTTAAAGTGTAATAGGCACAGTAGCGTACGCAGGATTTTTTTGAAAGGTGGGGGGGGGGGGGTTAACATTTTTAAATCGCGCCGAAAATTCGCAATGCCTCAGCCAGCCGCTGAAAAAGCGGAGGGGGGGTGGTAAGAGCACATTTTTTCCTTCCTATTACTAAAAAAAGTGAAGGGGGGTTCATGAAAAATTACACACATAAACAAAAATAGAGGGGGGTTCAACCCCCCCCCCCCTCCCGCTGCGTACGCGCCTGAATAGGCATTGCAAGGATTGGACTTAAACTGCTTTGATAGCCACAAAGTTGTACTTATCCACAAAAAGACTAACTGTTGAAATACGCGGGCATTCGTTCAGTTTGGTGAGATGATAAGTTTTGAGGAAAGAATTGATGAGGCATATTTGTTTAATTTTAATTTCTATTGTGTATCTTCATTGAACTGCTGAACTACATGAGCCCTCCACATTATTCTTTACCCAATACAGAGATCACTTGTGCTAAGCCTGGAGCAGGTACTAAAACAAAATCAGTGTCTGGTGGACGAAGGAAGCTTGACCAGGAATATACCTATTCCTGCAAAGGCGGCTACACCGCCACCTCTAATAAACTGAAGACCGTCTGTGTAGTAGACGGTGACGCAAGCTCTGGAAAGTGGTCTGTACCTCCACCCACTTGCAAAGGTATGTATTGTGTTAAAAGCCAAGGTCCCATTCACATATGTTATTCTCTGTGGGTATCTTGTTATTATTTTGTAATTCCACCTTTCTTTATGTTACTCTGTGTATTAATCAATTCAAAAGTTTTGATTTCTACCTTTCCTTATGTTATTCTGTTTCCTTACCCTTTTATTATTATTCTTCCTGTATTTCGTTAAATTGTTCCGTATTGTTATCCTTTTGTCACTTTTGCTTTCTGTCTTTCGCTATGCTACTCTGTGCTGTTATCTTTTTTTACTTTCTGCCTTTCGTTCTTTTACTTTGTGTTGATATCCTCTCTGTTTTCTTTCCCTGATATATTCTTTATATTTACCGTCATATCATTTCCCCTTTCTAGCTTTAGTTATGTAACTCTGTGTTGATATATTTTTATCATTTTCACTTTCTGTCTTGCGCTAGTTTACTCTATATTATTCGGGAGGTTCGTACAATGGGGAAGACATAGTGATTCTCTTGTTTTCCCGATGTGTATTCTTTTCAAATTTAAATTTTGTATTTCGGCTATCTTGTCATGGTCCACAAATGAATTCTTGAGTGACGTAAAGAAAAAATGAAGGTTGTCTCAATCCTCTTTTGTAGATTCATTCCTTTTCGTGGAAGGACCTGCACATGTAGCAAAATTTCAACCCGTCTTCATGGTGCACCATTATTCATGTGTTTGGGCAGATCCCTGGTATTCAGCCTAACGTTTCATAGTTGTCTCTTAGTTAAAGTGTAATAGGCACAGTAGCGTACGCAGGATTTTTTTGAAAGGTGGGGGGGGGGGGTTAACATTTTTAAATCGCGCCGAAAATTCGCAATGCCTCAGCCAGCCGCTGAAAAAGCGGAGGGGGGGGGGTGGTAAGAGCACATTTTTTCCTTCCTATTACTAAAAAAAGTGAAGGGGGGTTCATGAAAAATTACACACATAAACAAAAATAGAGGGGGGTTCAACCCTCCCCCCCCCCTCCCGCTGCGTACGCGCCTGAATAGGCATTGCAAGGATTGGACTTAAACTGCTTTTATAGCCACAAAGTTGTACTTATCCACAAAAAGACTAACTGTTGAAATACGCGGGCATTCGTTTAGTTTGGTGAGATGATAAGTTTTGTGGAAAGAATTGATGAGGCATATTTGTTTAATTTCATTTTCTATTGTATATATTCATTGAACTCCTGAACTACATGAGCCCTCCACATTATTCTTTACCCAATACAGCGATCACTTGTGCTAAGCCTGGAGCAGGTACTAAAACAAAATCAGTGTCTGGTGGACGAAGGAAGCTTGACCAGGAATATACCTATTCCTGCAAAGGCGGCTACACCGCCACCTCTAATAAACTGAAGACCGTCTGTGTAGTAGACGGTGACGCAAGCTCTGGAAAGTGGTCTGTACCTCCACCCACTTGCAAAGGTATGTATTGTGTTAAAAGCCAAGGTCCCATTCACATATGTTATTCTCTGTGGGTATCTTGTTATTATTTTGTAATTCCACCTTTCTTTATGTTACTCTGTGTATTAATCAATTCAAAAGTTTTGATTTCTACCTTTCCTTATGTTATTCTGTTTCCTTACCCTTTTATTATTATTCTTCCTGTATTTCGTTAAATTGTTCCGTATTGTTATCCTTTTGTCACTTTTGCTTTCTGTCTTTCGCTATGCTACTCTGTGCTGTTATCTTTTTTTACTTTCTGCCTTTCGTTCTTTTACTTTGTGTTGATATCCTCTCTGTTTTCTTTCCCTGATATATTCTTTATATTTACCGTCATATCATTTCCCCTTTCTAGCTTTAGTTATGTAACTCTGTGTTGATATATTTTTATCATTTTCACTTTCTGTCTTGCGCTAGTTTACTCTATATTATTCGGGAGGTCCGTACAATGGGGAAGACATAGTGATTCTTTTGTTTTCCCGATGTGTATTCTTTTCAAATTTAAATTTTGTATTTCGGCTATCTTGTCATGGTCCACAAATGAATTCTTGAGTGACGTAAAGAAAAAATGAAGGTTGTCTCAATCCTCTTTTGTAGATTCATTCCTTTTCGTGGAAGGACCTGCACATGTAGCAAAATTTCAACCCGTCTTCATGGTGCACCATTATTCATGTGTTTGGGCAGATCCCTGGTATTCAGCCTAATGTTTCATAGTTTTCTCTTAGTTAAAGTGTAATAGGCACAGTAGCGTACGCAGGATTTTTTTTTAAAGGTGGGGGGGGGGGTTAACATTTTTAAATCGCGCCGAAAATTCGCAATGCCTCAGCCAGCCGCTGAAAAAGCGGAGGGGGGGGGGTGGTAAGAGCACATTTTTTCCTTCCTATTACTAAAAAAAGTGAAGGGGGGTTCATGAAAAATTACACACATAAACAAAAATAGAGGGGGGTTCAACCCTCCCCCCCCCCCCTCCCGCTGCGTACGCGCCTGAATAGGCATTGCAAGGATTGGACTTAAACTGCTTTTATAGCCACAAAGTTGTACTTATCCACAAAAAGACTAACTGTTGAAATACGCGGGCATTCGTTTAGTTTGGTGAGATGATAAGTTTTGTGGAAAGAATTGATGAGGCATATTTGTTTAATTTCATTTTCTATTGTATATATTCATTGAACTCCTGAACTACATGAGCCCTCCACATTATTCTTTACCCAATACAGCGATCACTTGTGCTAAGCCTGGAGCAGGTACTAATACAATAGCAGTGTCTGGTGGACGAAGGAACCTTAACCAGGATTATACCTATTCCTGCAAACCCGGCTACACCGCCCCCTCTGAAAAACTGAAGACCGTCTGTGTACTAAACGGTAACGCACCCACTGGAAAGTGGTCTAAAGATCCACCCACTTGCGAAGGTATGTATTTTGTTAAAAGCCAAGGTTCATTCACATATGTTGTTCTCTGTGGGTATCTTTTTATCATTTTGTAATTCCACCTTCCTTTATGTTATTCTGTATTGTTATCCTTTTATCACTTTCGCTTTCTGTCTTTCGCTATTCTACTCTGTGTTGATATCCTTTAATCTTGTTCACTTTCTGTCTTTCGCTATGCTACTCTGTGCTGTTATCTTTTTTTACTTTCTGCCTTTCGTTCTTTTACTTTGTGTTGATATCCTCTCTGTTTTCTTTCCCTGATATATTCTTTATATTTACCGTGCTATCATTGTCTCTTTCTACTTTTCATTGTGTTACTCTGTGTTGGTATCCTTTTATCATTTTCGCGTTCTGTCTTTCGCTATGTTGCTCTGTGTTGATATCCTTTTATCTTGTTCACTTTCTGTCTTTCGCTTAGCTACCCTGTGTTGATACCATTTTTACTTTCTGTCTTTCGTTCTGTTACTTTGTGTTGATATCCTCTCTTTTTTTCCTTCCCTGATATATTCCTTATATATACCGTTGTACTTTCTGTCTGTCACTATGTTGCTCTACGTAGTTATCCTTTTATTATGTTCACTTTCATTATTGCAATGACGACCTTCGTCATTGCCTTGTTTTCGTTCACATTCTTCCCCATTAATATACTTATCGTCCAAAAATCCCTTTCGTTTTGCACGTAGTGCTTGTTATTCCTAGTTAGGTACTTTCCTCAAGTCCTTTTCCTTTCAAATTTCGTAGGCATCATCTATAGCATCTCATGAAGGTCACCTATTTTCGATTTTTGAAATCCCTCATGCATGACCGTCCAGGCGCCATTTTGTCTGTTTCTGGTCCGTTTTGAGGCCTTTCTTTCTTCCTTCCTATCTCCACTATCCTAGATCCTACACATTTCTAACAAATTCCTCTAGATATTCTAAGAGATGTTCTTTTATCTGCGACGTATAACAAGACCTTGAAAATGCCATCTTCGTACTCAAAATTCAAATCTGAAACCGACTCCGTCAAAAATCTTTAAAATTCTTGAGAAATTGACCCCTAAAAATCTAAAACTGCCATAACTTTCTCATATAAATTCCGTTTTGTATTTAAATCTCACAGTATCTTTATCTGACAATTGCACATAGCCATGCCAAATTTCACGCTCCAATGGCTTTGCAAAATATAATTAGCGCCCTCTAAAGTTCTGGGAATTGGCTTTCTTTCTGTGGCCGTATCTCCATTATGGCTTGGCAAACCCGTACTCTTTTGTGGATTTAGATACTTGAAGATATGCCTTTCCCAGCCATATACAAAATTATATACCCTATCACTGACCGACTTTGCGAAAAATGCCCTCCAAATTCGCCATTTTCAAGAAAATTCAAAAATAACTTCAACTTGCTCTAAAACGGCGATCTTTTTACCTACATCAATGAAACTTGGCAGACATATATATCCATATACGTGACAACTGTTTCCCAAATTTAGTAAAATTCGGATATGTCAGCGCAAAGTTATCGCCAAAAATGATAAATGTACTATGCATTACGTAATAGCGCGTTTAATGCGTGCAATACATTGCGCGAATATAGCAATGGTGTCAAACTGACCGCAATGAAGTGCCCTTTCGAATGATACCAAGTATAGTATATGTTCACACAGAAAATTGTGATAAATCGCATTTGAACAAAGGTCACTACACGAATTCCGCCGAGTTTCCCCCCGAATCTAACACGTATTGGCTATGACGTAATTTTTCAGACTGCTTTTCGCCCCTTAAACGTCCTTTTTTTCCCTTGAAAATTTGCAGTGACATGCCGAGTTCTAATACGCAGGGTACCTCATGGCCGGATTTTTGAAATTGGTCAAGGGGGCCATTCAAGACGCCATTTTGTCCTATAAATCTTTTTTACATCACGTGTTTCGATAGGATGATCATAGAAAAAAAAAAGTGATTTACAATAACAACCATGAAATTTTCTTTCGAATGATACCAAATACGCCCCATAAAGAGACATAAAGAGAGAGAGAAAAAAACAATTTAACTCCGGTCATAATACAGATCCTGTACGTTTTCCGCCCATGCATTACACGCATTGTCTATGGGGTATATCGGGTTCACGCTTTTGGCCCCCAGAACGATCTTCATTGCGATGACGAACATGCACCAAATCCCATTGGTTTTTGCACGCAGTGCTTGCGAGCCCTTTCTAGGTTCTTTCCCCTATCCCAATTTCTTTCCAACTTCGTAGGCATATTCACTACCATCCCATCAAGGTCACTGTTGAGGCCTTTCTTTCGCCCTACCTATCTCCAATATCACAGAAGCTACAGACTTCGTACAAATTGCTCTGGATAGTCCGTGAGAAGCTCTTTCGTTTGACACGTAGAACCATGGCGTCATTGCACGCACATCGTTGTGACACGATTGCATTTCTAGTTACTCTGTGTATTTATCAATTCATCAGTTTTGCTTTCTACCTTTCCTTATGTTATTCTGTTTCGTTACCCTTTTATCACTATTATTCCTGTATTTCGTTAAGTTCTTCTGAATTGTTATCCTTTTATCACTTTCGCTATGTTACTCTGTGTTGTTATCCTTTTATTATGTTCACTTTCTGTCTTTGGCTATGCTTCTCTGTGTTGTTATCGTTTTTGCTTTCTGTCTTTCGTTGTGATACTCTGTGTTGATATCCTCTCTTTTTCCTTCCCTGATATATTCTTTATATATACCGTCCTATCATTTTTCCCTTTCTACCTTTCGTTGTGTTACTCTGTATTGGTATCCTTTTATCATTTTCACTTTCTGTCTTTCGCTATGCTACTCTGCGTTCTTATCGTTTTTGTTTTCCGTCTTTCGTTGTGTTACTCTGTGTTGATATCCTCTCTTTTTTCCTTCCCTAATATATTCTTTATATATACCGTCCTATCATTTTTCTCTTTCTACCTTTCGTTGTGTTACTCTGTATTGGTATCCTTTTATCATTTTCACTTTCTGTCTTTCGCTATGCTACTCTGCGTTCTTATCGTTTTTGTTTTCTGTCTTTCGTTGTGTTACTCTGTGTTGGTATCCTTTTATCATTTTCCCTTTCTACCTTTTGTTGTGTTACTCTGTGTTGGTATCCTTGTATCATTTTCACTTTCTGTCTTTCGCTATGCTACTCTGCGTTCTTATCGTTTTTGTTTTCCGTCTTTCGTTGTGTTACTCTGTGTTGATATCCTCTCTTTTTTCCTTCCCTAATATATTCTTTATATATATACCGTCCTATCATTTTTCTCTTTCTACCTTTCGTTGTGTTACTCTGTGTTGGTATCCTTTTATCATTTTCACTTTCTGTCTTTCGCTATGCTACTCTGCGTTCTTATCGTTTTTGTTTTCCGTCTTTCGTTGTGTTACTCTGTGTTTTCATGGTACACAATTTATATTCCTGTATTCGGGCAGATCCCTGAGAATTCAGCCTAATATTTCATAGTTGCTCCTTAGCTACAGTGCAATAGGAAGCGCAGGAGTTGGACTTAAACTACCTTTAAAACCAAATATTTGTACTTATCTACAGAAAGTCTAACTGTTGTAATACGCGGACTTTCGTTGACTTTGGTGATATTATAAATATGGGGAGAGAATTGACGAGTCATATTCTTTTCATTTTATTTTCTATTGCGCATCCCTATAGCGGAAAAAAGTTCAACCCAAGGAACTACCCTCAGATGTCCAAGAGGCTTTGAACTTTTTGAAGGGAAATATTGCTTCCTCATAATAAGCAAGGCCGACATATGGGAAGTACAGGCACGGGTAAGTCGTTTACACCAACGCGGGAAAGGGGAGGCTTGGTTTAATGTTTCGTTTACACACGATGCGGGTAAGGGGAGGCTTGGTTTAATGGTTTCCACTCCTCTATACCACACAGAGCTACGTGCACTTTCATATATTCGTTACAAACACATACAACCACGCACGCTCGCGTACACATGCACACACACACACACACACACACACACACACTCACGCACACACACACACACACACACAATACATATATATATATATATATATATACATATACATTTGCACAACACCCTCACCAACTCATACACAAAGATCGTTTAAACACTTTTTCATTTTAAGGTTTACCTTAAAAAAAATTGTTGTTGTTTTTTTTTAGGCCGCCATCCTTGTCAAGCTTTGCTTATGATTGCGGTCTCCTGCACTTTTCCAACAGAATAGTTCGGTTAATACTTTAAATTTATGAATATATGTTATGGAAATATTAAGTTTCGTTATTATATGTACATATATTATGTAAAAAAACATTTTGACATGAAAAAATTATTGTTTATTTATGTTGTATTATACCTTACATTTATATGTTCTTTGTTATTCAGTTATATTTTATATGGAAAAAATGCAGAAATGAAATAAAATCCAAAAAAAAAATGTTTCGTTTACACACGATGCGGGAAAGGGGAGGCTTGGTTTAATGTTTCGTTTACACACGTGCGGGAAAGGGGAAGCTTGGTTTAATGTTTCGTTTACACACGATGCGGGAAAGGGGAGGCTTGGTTTAATGTTTCGTTTACACACGATGCGGGAAAGGGGAGGCTTGGTTTAATGTTTCGTTTACACACGATGCGGGAAAGGGGAGGCTTGGTTTAATGTTTCGTTTACACACGATGCGGGAAAGGGGAGGCTTGGTTTAATATTTCGTTTACAGACCACGCGGGAAAGGGGAGGCTTGGTTAAATGGTTCATTTACACACCACGCGGGAAAGGGGATCCTGAAAACTGTATGATAAAACTTTTCTTCTTCCTTGTCTTTGGTGTTATATAAATATATGTATTATGAACATGCACTTTAAGAAAGGCTAGATTTCTGCTCGGAGTTCAAGAAAATACACAAAAATAGAAGAAATAATGATGCTCCGTACAGTGAGTTAAAATTGTTGTATACATGAGCGCTGTAATTTATTGGTTTATTTCTCTCTCTATATATATATAGATATATCTCTCTTTACCTGTTTGCGTTATAACTCCTTGTTTATTGCATTGCCAACAGCTTCATTCCCTGGCCTTTCATTCCTCTCTCGATCCTAATTGCCCCATCTTTGCTGACTATACTTACACTCCTTCCACTACCCGCCTCTTCCCCCATCCTTGATATCAATGTGAGGGCCCTGTTTTAATAAAAGTTGTCATCAATAACTCTTAGTAGCTACTAAAATCGTGGCATTTGATTGGCTCAGGGCAGAATTTGAGATAGAAATTGAGCATTCCCCAAACCTCCTTTTCGTATCGGATATCCCATTAATCTCATCTGCTTAATCCATCTCTTACATATCATCTCTCACTTCTGCTCATTACTCACTCCATCTGTCAACGGCATCCTCAGCATTCTTCTAGTAAACATATAATTCGCAGCTCCCCAAACGCTTTATAAGCTTAACCCTATTATCCACATATAGTTCTTGGTAATAACATCAGATTCAAACATTACCTTCTAGAAATGCAAGGCCAAGAAGGGACAACTGGCAATACCTCGCTCTGAAGACAAAGCCGAAGTTCTACAAAGATATCACACAGAGAATCTCAAAAACGACGTGTGGATTGGACCCCAAGCTCTTGTTGTCAGCAATGTCTTTACTGACTTTGAGTTAAACAGGTTTGTAAAACATGTACAGTGTAACTTGTATTCTATCTAACGTTACCCTATATTCATAATTTTTCGCTACGGGTGACTGAGCAACCTGGTTGTTAAACAGTGCCGTCTAAATGCCCTTGTGCACGATGATGCACTGGTTGTAATGGGTCAAGCAATATTATACACGTGTTACTTTGTTCTTAAATCATTTTAAATGTTGATTTCAGATTCATGCTTAAGCGAATCATGTGTATCTAAGCTTTCACAGGACCTTGTTATAACCTTAAATTATGTTTAGCCCACCAACTTCTTGTCTTGTAGCCCACCAACTTCTTGTCTTTTATAAGTCAGCAGGATAACCTTAAATTATCTTTAGCCCACCAACTTCTTGTCTTGTATAAGTCAACAGGATAACCTTAAATTATCTTTATCCCACCAACTTCTTGTCTTGTATTAGTCAACATGATAACCTTAAATTATCTTTAGCCCACCAACTAATTGTCTTGTATAAGTCAACAGGATAACCTTAAATTATCTTTAGCCCACCAAGTTCTTGTCTTGTATAAGTCAGCAGGATAACCTTAAATTATCTTTAGCCCACTAACTTCTTGTCTTGTATAAGTCAACAGGACAACCTTAAATTATCTTTAGCCCACCAACTTATTGTCTCATGATATAAAAGGTCTCTGTTGCACCATTTCATACGCATAATGAGATTGAGGTTGACCACCCTCATTGATTTAGGAAATGCAAGAAAGAACACATGTTTATACCTACCAAATATAATGACAGAGGATTTCCATTAAAAAGAGATACAGCTAGCATCTCATTAAACTTTTTTTAAATTTTGATAAAAAGCATCAAGTGACATTTTCCTAGCAATGAGGATGTATATGAAAACCAAATTTTATCATGTTGTTCTGCAAGCGTATCATTAGCCAATCGCTTGGTTTGATTTGCTGGGAAGCTAAAAGGGAATTAAAGTAAAAACTTGTTAAGACACTAAACAAAATTCCTTTTGTCATTTTATCTTATTGGGAATCAATATTGCAAGACTGTTTAGACATGTATTTATAGGCTTGTCATTCTCAATGATCTGTCCAACTGATTCCATGCTATAATTGAAGAAACGAGGGGGTTATGTTTAAAAAAACATTCTGTTGTCTACTTTGGCACAGAAAGAAAACCTTCAACTGCCTGCCCCGTATTATACCGATGAATGTTACTTACTTTAATTAACCTTTCTTGTAAATAGGATGGCGCCAAATTATGTTTGCATTTGTACATCATATTTACACGCTGAAATTAAAAACGTTTCTCAATTGGCATCCATTTTTGATTGCTAATCAATTCACTTGATGGAGTCTCGTAACTTCTGTTTGAAATTATCATAGCAGATCGATTTTGAACTTTCTTGAGTTTATCCGTTTGTTCCCGATACTTATTTGACAACACATAGGAACAATAATCAAAGGTAGGTGATACGAGTGCATTATACAACAACTTTAAAGAAGTTATTGGTAAACAGTCCTTAATAGCTCGTTTTAAAAGGATGATGTTTCTTTGTGAACGTGCTTGGGCCAATTCGATTCTTCACCAATTATTGTACCAAGAAATTTGACGACATTAACTCTTATCAGTACCTTTCGATTTATAGAAACGTTGAAGGTTGTTATTTTGTTTAAATTTGCACGCGGAGCTATTACCATGACGCATGTTTTGTTTGTGTTTAGTAAAACGCTGTTTTGATTAGCCCATACCATTAATTTCAGCGTGTTTTTTTTTTTTTGCGCCATCCTATTTACAAGAAAGTTTAATTAAAGTAATTGACATTCATCAGCATAATACAAGGCAGGCCGTTGAAGGTTTACTTTCTGTGCCAAAGTATAAAACAGAATGCTTTAAACATAGCCCCCTTAATTTCTTCAATTATAGCATGGAATCAGTTGGACATAATATCATTGAGAATGGCAAGCTCTGTGAACACCTTTAAATACATGTTAAAAAAATCTTGCATTATCGATTCCCAATGAGGTTAAATGACAAGAGGAATTGTGTTTAGTGTATGTTTTCTTAGCACTGAATGTAGGACGATATAATGCTTTTCAAAGAATGATTTCATATAATGTATTATCAGCTATTAATACATTTGTATTTTAAATGTTACTTAAGAGTGTGCATTCAATTGTTATATACATGCATTAAGTTTTCATATTATCCCGTAGTTTACTATCCTGTAATATATTTTGTTGCTGTCCATATGTATATAACAATTGAACTCTCAAAGTATATGTTGCCTTTTTTCGAGGTCTAGGCTAATACCTACCAAAATATGCCAATAGTTACTTTTCATTTACGGTTAAAGTGGAATCGTTTGCATACATATCCCCATTACCACCATATATAAAACTTGGTAAAGTATTCACATATATTGAATAATAATAAAGTACCCAAAATAGATCCCCGTGGTATACGCCCATCAATACTGTTAATTGATTAGATTTAGCACTATTAAAATGAACAGTCTGTTTATGACCTGTTAAATAGGATCTTAACCATTTCACACATTCATGAGAACATCCAATAGCAGTTAATTTTGTTCAAACAAGATTGTGATCAACGGTGTCAAATGCTTACGAAAGTCGATAAAAGCGACATCAGAGATCTTTATGGTTTCAATGTTCCATGATAAATAATTTCCTGAGTGCTGTTGTTGTAGAATACTTCGCTCGAAACCCAGACTGATTTATTCAAGATAATATTATCGTTAATGAACTCATAAAGTTGGTGATGTACAGGGGATAGAGCAACGTCGATCTGGCGCTGCTCAGTGGCTGCCGGGCTCACAATCAATTTGGCAAAAAGAATTTTCATTTTTGGTTTAATTCAATTACAATTTGGAGTGGACTTTAAAATATTATTATCATTATTATTATATCAGTTACTCTTTAAAATGATACGTTCAGAACCACCTCCCTGATTAGGAAGCATTTGCAATTTTAGAACCACATTAGGCGCATTTTCAGGCACTTCATTTGAGAACCACATTTGGTGCATTAATGTCCACCACCCCAATGTCCACCCCAATCGCCCCTCGGTGCGCCAAGGGTTCTTAGCAGGATGTAACGCCCCGAGAGTCAGTAGTCTTATTTAACTTTTATATCCCGAATTCACAATATAGTCTACAAAAGATACTTGCCTTATTATCCTCTTCTTAAGTAAAGATTGGTTCAAACATCACAAATAATCTGAGACACTGTATGTTAATCTTCGATGGAAAGTTGCCTGAATTTTACGATCAATTGGGAATCGTACACACACTGTATGGTATCCGCGCTCGCACAAAGAAACTTTTTTCACGTAAACCAATGGGGATCTCAGCAAATTTAACTTTACCCGGGGAAACGGGCATATTTTTAATTAACTATGCCCCTTTCGGCAGGGCAACGGGCATGGTTCGTTTCTTTGCGAGCATGACTAAAATCATGACTCCAATTTTGACCAATTAGATGACTAATTTTATTCAAAATACTGTGGAGAGGTATTTAAAAAAAAAAATATGTATATCTAATTCATCTTTATATTTATTCAGCTATTCAGACAACTTTTTTATGCATTCATTAAACTAAATATTCATCTATTTATTTACTTAATTATTTACTTATTTATTTAGTGTTTGTTCTTCATACAGGGTAGTATAAAAAAAAAACTTCTTTTACAGAGAGTTCTTTAATTATTTTATTATTTTTGTTGTCCAGGCTTTCCTTCAATCAATTTAGGAACAATAAGCCACAACGGGCGAGTGGCAAAGGACTTGGACCCGATTGTGTGTCTGTAAATGCGAACGGCATATGGACCAACGAATGTTGTTACACCCGCCATCCTGCTATTTGTGAAACTGGGCCCATCGGCGATCCCGGTATGGATGTTCTCAATTGTGTATCTACATAGGGGTGGGGGTGACATAGGGGGTGACAGGTGGTGGGGATGACATAGGGGGTGACAGGTGGGTGGGGTGACATAGGGCGCCGAAATGCACAAGATGGAAAGAGCTATGGGAGAAAAGTTAAAAAATGATAATTTTGATGATTTGTGCCTGGATAGCGGATAAAGTGCATTTATATTATTTAAAGTTTGTAGTGTCATTCAGCTTAGTCGTCATTTTCCTCCCTCCCATATCTGCATCTAGAGTATTTGAAGGTTTGTAGCGTCATTTCTCATTCAGCTCAGTCACTTTCCTCCCTCCCATATCTGCATCTAGAGTATTTGAAGGTTTGTAGCGTCATTTCTCATTCAGCTCAGTCACTTTCCTCCCTCCCATATCTGCATCTAGAGTATTTGAAGGTTTGTAGCGTCATTTCTCATTCAGCTCAGTCACTTTCCTCCCTCCCATATCTGCATCTAGAGTATTTGAGGGTTTGTAGCGTCATTTCTCATTCAGCTCAGTCACTTTCCTCCCTCCCATATCTGCATCTAGAGTATTTGAAGGTTTGTAGCGTCATTTCTCATTCAGCTCAGTCACTTTCCTCCCTCCCATATCTGCATCTAGAGTATTTGAGGGTTTGTAGCGTCATTTCCCATTCAGCTCGGTCACTTTCCTCCCTCCCATATCTGCATCTAGAGTATTTAAAGGTTTGTAGCGTCATTTCCCATTCAGCTTGGTCACTTTCCTCCCTCCCATATCTGCATCTAGAGTATTTGAGGGTTTGTAGCGTCATTTCCCATTCAGCTCAGTCACTTTCCTCCCTCCCATATCTGCATCTAGAGTATTTGAAGGTTTGTAGCGTCATTTCCCATTCAGCTCGGTCACTTTCCTCCCTCCCATATCTGCATCTAGAGTATTTGAGGGTTTGTAGCGTCATTTCCCATTCAGCTCGGTCACTTTCCTCCCTCCCATATCTGCATCTAGAGTATTTAAAGGTTTGTAGTGTCATTTCCCATTCAGCTCGGTCACTTTCCTCCCTCCCATATCTGCATCTAGAGTATTTAAAGGTTTGTAGCGTCATTTCCCATTCAGCTCAGTCACTTTCCTCCCTCCCATATCTGCATCTAGATTATTTGAAGGTTTGTAGCGTCATTTCCCATTCAGCTCAGTCACTTTCCTCCCTCCCATATCTGCATCTAGAGTATTTGAAGGTTTGTAGCGTCATTTCCCATTCAGCTCGGTCACTTTCCTCCCTCCCATATCTGCATCTAGAGTATTTAAAGGTTTGTAGCGTCATTTCCCATTCAGCTCAGTCACTTTCCTCCCTCCCATATCTGCATCTAGAGTATTTGAGGGTTTGTAGCGTCATTTCCCATTCAGCTCAGTCACTTTCCTCCCTCCCATATCTGCATCTAGAGTATTTGAGGGTTTGTAGCGTCATTTCCCATTCAGCTCAGTCACTTTCCTCCCTCCCATATCTCCATCTAGAGTATTTGAGGGTTTGTAGCGTCATTTCTCATTCAGCTCACTCACTGTACGTCGCCGCCCCCACAAATACAAAAACAGAGAAAATGCAATAAACGATCAATAATTCATTGCACTTTCCCCCGGTCCATAAAAAAGCCTATGCATTATGGTTCAAGGCATGCCCACATAATGTAGGGGATCGGGGCAAAATGCAATGACATTAGGAAGTTGTCAATTGTAAATTCATGCTGAATTTCTTTGTTTGTTCTCTTGTTTGTGACATAAGAGTGCGATGATGTTAGTGGGTACGTCTTCTTCCAAGATCGTTGCCTGAGGTTTATAACCAATCCGGATTCCTTTGAAGCCCAATGCAAAGTAAGTTTGACCTTTGACCTCTAACATTCACTCAACAATAAAATGTTTGCACATGACCACAGCGATCTATATCCAGAGTCTGGCCAACTCGGTTTCGGTTTAATAGTCATAACATGGTGCATCAAAATTATTCTTTTATTTGGTAGTAGTATTCGCCATATGATAGCCAGCTAGATGAAGGTTAGGCAAATTATGTAAAGGCATTTTGATGGCTCTGTGCATGTCCACTGGAAAGGCATATTTGAAGGACATCTTACTGACAGCGATAATCTAGAATAATGGTTTCTCTAATTGTGACAAGACCACAATGTGGACAAATGAAGGGTTACATAGGACCAGTTCAGAGGTAGCACTTGTTAAACTAATCTCAAGTATCCAGAAATCATTAAAACGTGGAGGAGGTATAGTTCAAGAGTACCTTTTAATACCTTTAAATAGTAGTAGTAGTAGTAGTAGTAGTAGTGGTAGTAGTAGTTGCAGTAGTAGTAGTAGTAGTAGTAGTGGTAGTAGTAGTAGTAGTGGTAGTAGTAGTAGTAGTAGTAGTAGTAGTAGTAGTAGTAGTAGTAGTTGCAGTAGTAGTAGTAGTATTAGTAGTAGTGCTAGTAGTAGTTGCAGTAGTAGTAGTAGTAGTAGTGGTAGTAGTAGTAGTAGTAGTAGTTGCAGTAGTAGTAGTAGTAGTAGTAGTAGTAGTAGTAGTAGTGGTAGTAGTAGTAGTTGCAGTAGTAGTAGTAGTAGTAGTAGTAGTAGTAGTAGTAGTAGTTGCAGTAGTAGTAGCAGTAGTTGCAGTAGTAGTAGTTGCAGTAGTAGTAGTAGTAGTAGTAGTAGTAGTAGAAGTTGCAGTAGTTGTAGGGTTAATAAATAATAATAACCACGCATTTTCCACTAAATTTGAAGGAATGCAGAAGGCTCAAAGGTCGCCTAGCCCCATCTCTGAACGAAGCACAAAATAAAGCTCTGCTTGCATTCTACAAATCTGAATCGCCAGCCAACGGCAAGCCAGCATGGTTTAACCTACACAATCTCATCTCGAGTAGTAACTATCAAACCACTGAACTTCTCACGTAAGTTTGATATGATTCGATTTGATTTCATCTGATTTGATGAAAATAATAATAAGATAATTATAATAATAATAATGATAATAATAATAACAATCAAAGTAATGATAATGATGAGAATTATAGTAATGATAACAATAACAGATTTGAACTAATGATGATGATAATGACAATAATAATGATAATAACAATAACAATAATAGTTATGATAATAACAATAACAATAATAGTTATGATAATAATAACAATGGAAGTAATGGTAATGATATTAGTATTAATATTAATGATAAGTTAACAATAGTGATGACAATTATAATATTGATAATAATAATAATAATAATAATAATGATGATAATAATAATATTAATAATAATGATGATGATGATAATAATAGTAATACAAATAAATAATAATGATGTTTTTGATGATAATGATGTTAATAATAATAATAATAATAATTATCATTATCATAAAAATAACAAGATATGAATGAGATAATTTAAATGCCATCCCTTCTTTCTGTTAAAATGTCATTTCAACTCAAAGAAAATTTGGGTTATACAGTAAATTATTAGTTGTTCTTCTTTGTGTATTGTTTTCCTTTATGTAATATTGCTCTCAATTATGTAACCAGTTTAAGCATTTTATGTGTTCTTTTTTTTTAGTAGAACAAAAAATTGTCCAGTACAAATTTCTTGTGAGTTTACAAGAGACCTATAAATGCATCTTATCTTATAAAAAGGGCAAATTAAAAATTCACCACACCATGTACTGATGTTAAATCTTTGCGCTACTGATGTTAAATCTTTGCGCTACTGATGTTAAATCTTTGCGCTACTTATATGCATTGAATTGTTACTTAAATATTACTTTCATGTTTAAGTTTATCAGCGTATCTGCAGGAAATCCTGTAAATTTCAAAAGCTCTGTATATCAAATTTCACAATTCTTTCGTTTTCTTCGTATCTATTTGTGTTCTTGATCCGACTTCATAACATGTGAAGTAGAATATCATTTTGCATTCTACACCTTGCTTTCAGGGAATAGATTATCATAAGAAAGAAGGCAAAACATGAAATTTGATGTACAAAAGGCATGGAGAGTTGTCCACAGATGATGTCATAAAATTGAATATCGCCCTCTAGTGACCAGTCATTTAAAGAAGCTTTAATTTCCTTATTCCTTGCCCGATTTTGTTAAAATTTTCACTGATTTTATTCAAATATCTTGAACTTAACAATAAAAGCAACTTAGTATGAAGGTTTTGGTTCCCTTTAACCATTAGAGCGCATTACGTTCAGAGTTAAAGGAATAGGGGCATGGTAAGTGACATAATAAAGAAAATGCCTGGGGTGAGGTTTGGGGTTGGGATCAGGGGTAGGATCACGTTTAAGCCCTTGGCGTGGATTAAGGGTTGTTTGACCTTAGGCTTAGGTCTACGATCAACCTTTGGGGTTGGGATCAGAGGTGGGATCACGTTTAAGCCCTTGGCGTGGATTAAGGGTTGTTTGACCTTAGGCTTAGGTCTACGATCAACCTTTGGGGTTGGGATCAGAGGTGGGATCACGTTTAAGCCCTTGGCGTGGATTAAGGGTTGTTTGACCTTAGGCTTAGGTCTACGATCAACCTTTGGGGTTGGGATCAGGGTTGGGATCAGGGGTGGGATCACGTTTAAGCCCTTGGCGTGGATTAAGGATTGTTTGACCTTAGGCTTAGGTCTACGATCAACCTTTGGGGTTGGGATCAGAGGTGGGATCACGTTTAAGCCCTTGGCGTGGATTAAGGGTTGTTTGACCTTAGGCTTAGGTCTACGATCAACCTTTGGGGTTGGGATCAAAGGTGGGATCACGTTTAAGCCCTTGGCGTGGATTAAGGGTTGTTTGACCTTAGGCTTAGGTCTACGATCAACCTTACTTGTATGTGGGGGTATTCTGAGGATCAAAGTACAAGCGTAGCCTTTTTCAGGTCTTCCCACTTAGGAACTTATGCTCTTTATATACATTACATCGTATAACCTTGTAATAAAAATCTTGTAAGTAAGTCTGTACTCAAAACTTTCATGCACATTTTATGTTTGCTGAACTGAACTGAATAAAAGTGAAAATAAATTATGACTGTACTGAACTGACCGGGAATGACTGAATTTATGTGAACTAAAGTGACCTCAACTGACCTCAACCTACTAAATTTAAACTGACCTGCACTGCCCTGAACTGACCTTAACCTTTAAATATACCTCAAATGAGCCTATACTGACCTCAACTGAACTGACTGAACTGAGGTTGGACTGACTGAACTGAGGTTGGACTGACTGAACTGACTGAACTGAGGCTGAACTGACTGAACTGAGGCTGAACTGACTGAACTGAGGCTGAACTGACTGAACTGAGGCTGAACTGACTGAATTAACATGGCCTGATGTGACCTGACGTAGCTAAGCTGAATGATTTCTTTTCTTCTTCTATTCCAGGTCGACTTTCTCTAAACTTCCTGCCAAAACTTCAGACAGTGATCGATGTGTGAACATAGGGTCTGGCGGATGGGGAAAAGAGTGTTGCCACGATAAACTTCCTGCAATATGTGAACTGAATCGTTAGCAAATAAGCGATTTTGACTTCAGAACTTAAGTGAATAGTTAGCAACAGTCATATTATTTGTACAAAAAAAATCTACAAATTTTCACATTTGTGACGTATAACATCTCTTTTATAACATCTGTTTGATTGTAGCGTTTGCATTATTACCATCGTTCTTCTCTTCTTTTCTCTAATTTTTATTTAATTCTCAGATTTAGAGGTCTCTTAAAATAGAATGTTGACCTTCATATCTTAAAATATTGTGGTAACATGCTGATTGACATACATACATACCCTAAAAGGACCGCAGTATCCACCAGGAATGTCTTGCAAATGTGATGAGAAACAAAGCGTTAAAGTGTTTAAATATAGCTTAAGAATTAATGGGAAAATATTTTAGCATGTACAGAGCACGTCGCTTTTTTTAATAGACATGTATAAAAGGTATACCTTTGCACGGTTTGGCTCTAAACAATAAAAATAGCATTATTTATATTTTAAAAAAATGAATACACATAGTCAGGAATAAACTACACAAACAGGCGGCCAATATTATCCGAACCTGCATGTACTTTGTGATTACTGAATATTTAATCCTGCCATGTGGACTATCCTACTTCCTTTATATTATGCCTTGCTAACAGTTAGCACATAGTAAAAGTGACCCAAAATGTACAAAGATCTTTTACACGTACATAGAGAAGTCCAACTCTTTGCACGTGTACAAAAACATGTACTGTCGGTTCTTAAAGCTCCACTGTCCTACTTGTAGCTGCTTGCTCCCTCTATATAGAAAATTTCCCCAATCGGTGCCTGTTGGTCCCCCATGATCCTCTTTTTTCTTATGTTAGTTGAAAGCTGAGTTAATGAGATAGCCACCTGTTAGTGACCTCACTGTGTGGTCTAATTCCTTCTGGTCAAGTAGTATTGACGGTCTTTAATGAATAATAAGTACATACATTTCAATCTTTCATGAGCACGTATCCAGTATTCGAATCGCTTGGTTTAAAATTTTGGACAAATGACCTTTATGTGCTCATGCGCATATTGTATTTACAAACTGGCCTTTTGTGATACCACTGCTCTTATAATGGGCATTGCTTTTACGTTGTTCTATCATTTCAGTGATTTGGTAACATTGTTCAGATAAGAGAAAGTGGTACTTAGGTAGTGACTTCAGTGCTAGATATACATTCAAAGATTGTTCTATCATTTAAGGGATTTGGTAACATTGTTCAGATAAGGGAAAGTGGTACTAAGATAGTGACTTCAGTGCTAGATGTACAATCAAAGATTGTTCTATCATTTCAGGGATTTGGTAACATTGTTCAGATAAGAGAAAGTAGTACTTAGGTAGTGACTTCAGTGCTAGATATACATTCAAAGATTGTTCTATCATTTAAGGGATTTGGTAACATTGTTCAGATAAGAGAAAGTGGTAATTAGGTAGTGACTTCAGTGCTAGATATACAATCAAAGATTGTTCTATCATTTAAGGGATTTGGTAACATTGTTCAGTTAAGAGAAAGTGGTACTAAGGTAGTGACTTCAGTGCTAGATGTACAATCAAAGATAATCTGACAATTTAAGTGAAAACAGACCACTATCACTGATAACAATTGGAAAAAATTATCTGATCGATTCCTAAATTCTTCGAACTATATTATTATAATTCAAATAAAATTAATGTCAGGTTAATGTAAATCGTCACAAAGCATTGAATTTCATCTATATACCATTCCAAACTTTAATGTGTGAACAAGAACATTAAATGCCTGCTTTAAGTCTTATTTTCATTGAAAAACGGTTTGGAAAACGGTTTAATCTGGTAGGAATGTACTGTTAAAGGGGGTTACACAACGCCTTCAAAGAAAACCATAAATATCTTTGTGGTTCAATCATTATTTTCAGGATTTTTTTGCATGTTGTAGAAGTGTTGTAGTCAAGTGGTTTAAGCACTTGACTTGAAATTCAAAGGTCGTGGTTCGATCCCCGATATGGCACTAATGTCCTATGGCAAGGCATTAATCTTCATTTACCACACTCGACCCAGGTGAGGTAAATGGGTACCTGGCAAGAATTAATTCCTTGAAATGCTGGAGCGCTGTAATGGCAGCTAGGCTAAAGCCGGGGTAATAATTAATGCGCCTCGGAATAGAATTTCTAGACAGACGGCAATATAGAAATACCTATAATTAGTTATGTTAGAGGGCCTGTACAGTAAACGGAATATAAAAGTAACATGTCGTACAATACTTACGCACTTCTTTGTTCAACCTTTTACAATGTTACCGGTTCACTTAAATAAAGAAAAATAGTAATGGATAGCTCACAAATATTTATTACATTCATTATCCTACTCTATTCTAACCAAAGTGTTTGCCTTTTCTTTTCCTTTTTTCTTTTTTTTCCAGCTGACATTTGAAACACTTGACTTACTTTAGTGTGCAGACCCGACTCTTTTCTATGACCTTTAAACTCTTCTCACCTTTGACGCCTATATGGAAATGGCCCTTCTCAACCTCAACGCAGGAGCGGGGAAAAGCTGTCTACAATTGACCTGCGACCTATGAACTCTCGTCACCGTATATACATACAAACGGAAGTGACTCTCCTCAAACTAGACACATAAATTGAAATCTCTGTTCGCAAAAGGGCATAGTGTTTATATTGGAATGATAATACAAAGATCTTCAAATATCTGTCATTACGTTTTGGTTCACCTGCCGCCATTTTGAAGAAAACTATCACACTAAAGTATACTTTACTGTCGCTATGTAGTTTAAGGTATTAATGCTGTAAACTTCAATTATAATTTAAAGATAAAGAATCAATTACGTTGGCATCCAAGCACTTCATGTTATTTGAAAATTTGCTGAGGAAGTCTGTGAACGTTGTATAGTTATCAGCATTACCATTTTCTATTGGAACTCTGTCCAATTATTGTGCAATATAAAAACTATTAAACTGTAAACTATAGATTCAAACTCGTTAACATTGTGTCTGAGATAAACTTAACATTTAAAGCAATCTTTACTGACGTCCGTTTTTAAAATTGAACTGAATGTCAATTCAATTCAATTCAATTTATTTATTCATCATCCATAAAAATTATAACAGATATTGACAATATTTGACGATGCATAACAATAATAACAATAGATGAAAGGATACCTTCAAAAAAAGCACGGGGCTTGTACAATAGAAGGCACCTGAACAAAGTTAAATAATACATTTATAATTGCAAAATAATTCACCCAGCCACAAAACACAATAGTCACACACAAAAATGCGCCGACACACAAACACACACACACACACACACACACACCCTCACTCACAAACTAACTAACTACTAACCAAAATGTAACGTAAACAATCTTTTGAAAATCATTGTTGGAGTACATCAAGTATTGTAACTGTTAACGAAATGCTGGTTAATTTTACGTTTGAATACATTGAGTGTGGTTGCATCGGAAATACAATTTTCAATTTCGTTTAAAATTTTGGGACCAGTATACCGAATGGATCTTATATCTAACGAATTTTGAGGTTTTGGCAGTCGAAATTTCATTGAATTGCGGGTAAAATGTGAATGAATATCTGAATTTAGCTGAAACATATCATGAAACGAAAGTGGAAGAGTATTGTTTATATATCGATACATGAAAATACCAACAAGATATTTATATATGTCAAAAATGTTTAAAAGATTTAACGAATGAAAAATAGGACTAGAATGGGCAAGATAATGCGAAAGAGTACAAATTCGAATAGCTTGTTTCTGTTTCTTAAAAATACTTACTAATCTGGTTTTACACGCTGAACCCCATACAATATTACCATACATGAGATACGGCAAGATAAGAGCATTGTATAATAGAATTAATATATGTGGGGGTACTGTATATTTCAATTTATATAAAATTCCAATGGTTTTACTTATTTTATTACAGACATGTCTGACATGAAAATCCCATTTTAGATAACAATCAACATGTATACCAAGGAAATTATGACAGTCGAATGTGGGTGAAATTTCCTTTTTCTTTTTCAACAAACCTTCTATTTGAAGGAATTTGTATCTGTTGTATATATCTATAAGCACACAGTCATTATAATGTGTTAATTGGTGGAAAAATCTTCAATCTCTATTTTATGATATTTATGTCATATACTTAATTAAATGTCAATGCTTAATCATGTATATAATTGACATCCATTACGTTTTCCTTCCTTTACATGATTGAAGTATTTCCATTAATTCAAATGTCACGCAATGATAAGATGGTACTTGATGCCATCCCTAAACAAGAAAAAATAAAAATAACTCAAGAGCTTTTAAGTTAATTGCATAGAGCAACAGTTCTCGCATGGAATCTGCACATATCTTTGGCTGGTCCGGAATGTGCACATTCCATTGGAATTGTTGCTCCAAAATTAAAATCTCAACCAATTCAGTAATTTAAATAAAAAATCATTCATTACCGACGAGAAGCAAAGGAATAATGTGTTTATATTAAAGGCATTAACATGATCTTGATCGGAAACATTGATAGCATTATGGTTAAAAAGTATGCTGCTCATAAAATCATCACTATTTTGAGGCAATACTCTTGTCACTTCTATAAAACCTCGAACTCATTCATTCAAGCAACAGACTAGACTGGGGCAAATTCAGTGTTTAGCGCTGGTGTGATCACCACGCCATTGTTTAGCACAAACTTGTATAGAACCAGCAACCTTGTCCACTGTGTCAGCTATCTCTATTACGTGCCACCCGTTCTGTTTGCCGTCACAACGAATTTAAACAGCATTAATCTTGGTTATTTGCCATAGTGAAGAGCGGCAGAAATGTTCAACTCAAATAGTTGGAAAGATGATCACATCTATCTAGAATTGAAAGGCTCTAACACATGTTCTACTGTAAAACAAGACAGTCATAAATAACTTGAAATGTACCATTATAAAACTTTTTTGGCAATGTGCAATAAACTTAATTCTTGGTGTTAAACAAATATCATGGTTCTGCTTTTCA